AGTCCTAATGAGCTCTTTGTGAATACTCGAGCCTATATGGGGTCCTGTGGGAAGGAACATTGTGAGTATACTAAATTCCGGTTTGACCAGATGGAGGATAGCAGGGAAAAGAAGGAAATCATTGATAGGTTTGAAATGGCGTATAGGCGACCTGCAGAGTGAGGGTTGCAGGTATGAACGTAAATTACTGAGCTATTGCGAGTACATGGAGACCCAGTTGGCCCAGAAGATCCGCAGAGGTAGGTGTTGTGATCGGCAGAAGATTGTTCATGCAAAGATGTTCAGGGAAGGCTAGAGTGGCCACAGAAATACCAGATATAGAGGTTCCCGCCCAGAATAAGGCGAAAATCGATGAACTGCGGGTACTATAGGTTACCGTTCTGTCTTCATGTAGATGACCATTCGGGGAATATGTTTGGGATGGTCCTAGCGCCTCTCGCCCTTGGGCATCGGCCTCTCGCACGAGTTTCGGGAAATGTGGTTTGACGATGATGGTTTCAGAGCAAAATCAACGGTCTGGTCAAAGAGGCCGAGGGTTTGGCGGAGAGAGGCCGCTTGATTGACTCCGAAAAGAAAATGGCGCAGGTAGTAGATGATGATGAGTGTTGGGGTAATTTTGTGGCGCGTGAAGAATCCACTCTTGTAATTTCAGATCGAGCCGCTAAATGATAAAATTCGTGACTTGAGTGGTGAGAAGTACCTCCATATGACGCGTACTGAACTAGTTTGCGACGTTTGCGGCTGTCTGGTAACCCTCAATGAGAACGACGCTCATATGACTCTAGAGAATCACGAGCATGCACGGTAGCTTTGGGTGGCCTTCATCGAATATCTGCTTCGTGACCTATACTCGACTCTTACCTGGCAAAGGGGAAGCTTGCTGCTTCCTCAGTGGTGTTCTTGAGGCTGTCGTCGTGTTACGGAGAGTCTCAGGCATTTAGACCTGCCAGCTGCTTGTCCTCCACAGTGAGGGGTCCGGATGATCGTGCTTTTCTCATCGCACAGTGTTATCACGACAGAGAATGCTTTGGTCTATTGTAGTGGCAAGCAGCATCAAGGTTGGGCTAAGATCAAGGAGACCAGTAAAGCGCTGAGAGAGAAATTCGCGTCGGCCAGAGGCATGCCTTTATCACCACCAACGAGGGAAGCTCCGACCATGGAGAAAACTCCTAATGAACGCAGGTAATTCTTTCGCGACCACTCTTGCGACTATGGTGGAGCAGTATGTGGAAGTATGCGGCAGATCCCCGACGCGGTCTGGAAATAAGGAGGTTGAGGAGAATCTGAAGGAGACGAGGAATGGCCCCGATGCGAATGAACGGAAGAGTGGGGAGTCTCAGTCGAAGGTCGAAGATTGGAGGACCCATCTCTCTAAGATGCGTAGGTCTCCGTTAGATTGTATACATCGTGCTTTGCTTGGTGTTCGCGTCGGAGTATCGACTATTGGTTGACGCTGATGTTGATGCTCTCCATCACGCGAGGAATTTAGTGTTATAGGAGCGCGTCGTTGCACTTAATACCCTTGGAATAGAAATGAAGTTTCATGGGAGTCTCACATCGGATGCATAGTCTTACATGAACCCGAAACTCGTGCGCATGTACGTTCAACTTGAGTGTATATGCGTACGGTTTAATAACCTCAGTGACTCAAGTGAAGCTAAGA